ATCTGAAAACTAACCATCTGGGCTCTGCCGTGACTGATCTTATTTTGTCTTCATATTGCTGGAGTAAGGAGGAATAGAGTCTTAAGCTGTTCTTAAAGAAAAAAGGAAAACCAAACCAAAAAACAACCCAACTGAAACTAGCTTGTTTCTGCCATTCTTTCGTAGTTCACTTTGCTTCTGGGGTAGAAGGCTCCTGTCTTCTGGAGATATCCTGATAGCTCATGGATGGATTTCCAGCATGGAAAGAAAAGAGTGAACCGAGAAATCCCAAACAAATAGCTTTTTTAAAAGTAATTTTTAAAAGTCCTATTTTCGGAAGAAACTGGGAATTGATGGACATGAATCAAAGGATTGTCTACAGTGCCTGAACAAAGTATCTTTCATTTTTGGACTTACCAGTTTGATGCAGTTCCTAGGCACAGGGACTTTCTTAAACATCCTGTTCTATCAGCAAGGAGTCCAGAGCCTGGTGCTAACACAGCTTTCCTATGCTAGGGACAAAATGGGCTGCTGGATTTGCTCTGGCTCTCTTCTTTGTGGACTGGTACTGGATTACTGACAATATGATTTCAGTCTGCCTAGATGCTCAAGAGAAAGTAGGAGAAACTAGGAATATCTGTGACTTTCCTGCTTGGCACTGGAGGCCTACCTGTGTGTCTGTAGGCACTGCATTGGCCCAGGAGGTTTGTGGTTAAGGTGCTGAAGGGGTGCTCTGGCTCTAGACTGGTCTTTCCAGGAAACCTGGACTGTCACATTTTTGTGATTCTGCTCCACAGAGCTCTACTGGTGTGGAGTTGTTTCTGTCGGTGCCACCCAGTGCTGGGACTGAACCCTGGCGCTATCTAGCCTGTGCTGTTCAGTACAGAAAACACAGCAAAGCTCCCATCGTCTGCACAGCTGACTACCTGGCTTGCCTGAAGAAGGCCTGGGAGTGAAACAGCCTGTACTTGCTCCTGCTTGAGGGCCAGGGCATGGTGGTGAGGTGGTGTGGACCTTCCACGCTTGATCTTGCGTGGGCTTCACAGTCACTTGCTGGCTAACCTCCATAGTGCATAACAAGGACAGGGCATCCGGGCCTCTGAAGTGCTGAGGATCCAGCTACCTGGTTTTTGGAAGGTGTTTGTGTGCAGAGGGTCAAAAAGGGCTTTCAAAGGAAGGAAGGGTGTTGCCTGCAGTGTTTGGCTGGTGCTTTCTGCAAGCTGGTGAGAAACAAGGCTCCAGGTTCAATGACTAGATATCTCCTGCCCATGTAAGTTGTTAGAAAACCATCAGTGATGTGCTGGTGTATCTGCTGCTTTTCTGGTGCCCCTTGATGGGTTATGTTGATCCTTTATGCATTATTAAGGATTAGCTGTGTGTTTTGCTGTGAGAATTAGCTGTGGGTTTTACTCCCTAGGAAGTAGAAGCTGTTGGGGACTGGGTTTTGAGGGCAGTGGGTATTTGGAATAATGAAGACTGGACAATTTGCGGGCACTAACTCGTGATCCCAAGACTGGGAGAGTTGTGGCAGCAGAGAGTTCCCTTCCCAGAACGGCCTCAGCATGGCTGTGTATCCTGCAGGGACATGGAGCTAGCCTGGGATGGTGGCAGCTAGTCTAGAGACACCTTAATCTGCTGAAGACCAGGGGAAATATTAATAGTGTTCTGCATCTTTATTAATTTAACTGTGCCCATGCCAGAACAGTTAGGTCTTTTGGTTTGTGTGCCCAACATACAGCACAGTGCGAGTTTTTTCCCCTGGTGTCAGACTGTAAGTGCTTCACTATAGCAACTAATGCGTTGTTTCTGTAAACTGCTGAAGGACTGCTGCTGTATGCAGGGACTGGACCTCCCAGTTGAAGGCTGCTCTGGCTGACCTGTTCTTTGGGCAGGAGAACTGAACTGATTAACAAACCAGCAAAGCAGGGTTTGCTTTGCTGCAGTAACTTGCAAGTATCCGTAGTAGCTTATAGATCTGCAAGTATCTTGCAAGTAGCTTATCCTTCCTTCCCCTCCCCCCCCCTACTTTTTTTTTAGCTTTTCTTTCTTTTTTGTTGCCTAGGCTGGAAAGGGAAGCGGAGGGAGGAAAACAGGTGTGACTCTGCTGGGATGCTTGGGTACCACTGCAGTGAGGTGTGAAGGCATGGAGAAACGCTGGGAGCGAGTCACCTGAGTGGTGCTCGGTGCTGCACAGGAAGCTTTGAAAGCAGGAATTCAGACTCTCTGGTTTCTCCCGTACCTTTGATGCTGAAATCTTTCGCTTGGAGACATCACCGGGCTGCCATCTTGCAGCACTGCAGCCTGAGGTCTGGTCTAGGAGATAGAGGATGAGTTTTAGTGTGGCCAGGCTCAGTTTGGGTGTGGTGAACTCTTGTTTAGGGGTGGGAAGTTGAGGACATTTAAGCACCTGAGAGGTGCAAGAGGGCTGGTCCCAGTGAGTAAAAGATTGCTGGATCTGCTTCTGCATCCTGCTGCCTTTCCTCAGCACAGTGCTCCTTTCTCCCTGACCTCACTTGGTCCTTTTTACATACTAAAGGTGTATTAGCAGGGAAAATAGTGGAGGGGAGATAACAAAGAGGCTTCAGCTAGCTAGTAGGAGCTGTTCACCAGATGTGCTGCTGAGCTGTGTGGCCCATGTGCAGCTGCCTGTCCTGGTTTCCTCTCCCGAAGTGCCACGTACGCAGAGCATCAGTCCAGGGGCTACCCAGTGAAATCAAAAAAATAATTAAAAAAAAAAGCGGTAACATGCAGAAATGGGGACAGATGTGTCCAAGCTGCTGATGCTGGCTAGGGCTTGCTGAGATAGCTCATCTCCTGGGAGTAACTCCCTGCTCCTGCCCAAGCAACTGGCAGAGGACTCTGCGGGTTGGGTAGTCCGGTCCCTTATGTGTCTTATAGGTAAGGGTTCTTGTTCAGGAGAGCAGCTGACTCCTCATACCTCTGTTGTATGTCTTACAACTCTGGGCCACACATAGAACTCATAGGATGAAGAACGTTTTGTGGAAGCCTTGAGAAGGGTTGTGTGCATGTCCATCTGTCCTGCTGGCTTTGCAGAACGGCAGATGGAAGCGATCTGTGTGCTCAGAGGGGCAGGGGAGTGCCAGAGCTCAGAGATGCCCATCTATGTCTTGCTCCATGGTGGAACTGAGGACCCATCTGCCCCAGCCAAGCCCCACAGCTCTTGCTCCCAGTGCTCAGACTGCAAATGCTTCAACCTCTCGACCTGCACACAGGTGCAGAGTTGCTGCTGGGTCGGTTTGCAAGTAACTTCCAAGGGTTAATGTATTGTGAGGAGGTTGCAAAGGTCTGAAGCCTGGAATCCCCTCGATCCCTTGCCTGGAGAAACACAAAGTCCAATAAGCCAGCACCCCTGGATTCGTGTTGGGGGGGATTAATTCATGCACTTGATGTTAAAGCTTGTCCGAGAGGTTTGCACGGGGGGGCCATCGCTAGGGCTGGTTGGCCTCTCTAAATGGTTGCTAGGGCCCTGGCATCAAGGGCCAATGTAGCTGCCCACAGCCACGGTCACGGAGGGAATTACACAGCCACAAAGAAATTGTTATTCTACATAATCTGCTCTTTGGAGAGTGACTGTGGGGAAACAGGCTGGCCCCAGCATGCCGCCAGCTCTGTGATCATAGAAGCGTGCTGGCTGCAAAGATCGGCCAGGGCTCGCCTTCTGATCTGGGGACACCAGGGCTCGAGGCGCTAATCTGCTTTATCAGCGATTTCTCTCTCCTGACACAAAGGTGTTTACTTGTTTTAACATCTCCCGGGACTCTATTTCTCCTTTTGTGTGGTCTTTATCCCCCGACGAGGGCTTTAGCCCAGATTACAGACAGAATTAAGGCATTTGGCGATGTGCCTCAGAACTGTGTGATGCTGGATCAAGGAGCAGAAAGTAACAAAATAATGGGGGGAGATGCTGGGAGTGACCCCACTGCGGGATCCGTGCTGTCGGCTTTCAGGACCGCTTCATTGTCCTGAGAACCAAGAGCCTGTTGGAGAGGGGTGGCCGTGCGGCAGGGTTTGAAAAGCAGGTGCTTCAAGGTTTATTGTCCAGCACTTTTGATTTAGAGGGTGTGAGCAGGAGGAGGAAGAAAAGGAGGGTTTGCAATAGGTGGCCGCTTCAAGCAGCTGGGCAGATTGTCCCCTCCATTCCCAAGAGTCTATCGTGGCTGGGTGTTGCTGGCTGCTGGGGCAGGGGGAGTGATACTGGGGACAGGCTGTGCCATGTGCCTGATGCAGTTTCATATGGCCAAGGGAAGGGGCTCAGGCTCCTTCTTGCAGTCTGGCAGGTTTGGCTCTCACCAGGCACCATCTACCTGGTGAGCTGCTGGTTCTGCACATGAACAAGCAGCAGAGTGATACAGCCACAAAGCATCTAGTGTAGAGCTTCATGGAGGTCTTGCTTTTGCTCTTTGACAGCAAACAAGGAATTAAAAAGGAGGACGGGGGGGAAAAAAAAAAGTTAGACTTTGGAAAGTCCTCTCCAGAGCAGCCCTGGGGTGGTTGCTCTTGACCTATTGTGTTCAGCCCGATACAGTGTTTGTAGTCTGATTTGCCTGTGGATCTGAGCTGTGTGCAAAAGATATGGGGAGATACCCCAGCAGGCAGTATTTTGAAGGATGGAATCTGGGATGGGATTGACCAGGTAAGTGGCTGTTGCAGATTATCTGGAGTTTGACTAAGTTGACAATTGTCTCCCATGGAAATGGAGCCCTGTCATTCAGAATACTGGTCACTTCTCCCAAAAAAAGGATCCTGGGGGTCCACTGTGCCAGTTCCTTGTCTGTTCCTCACAGCTGTGACTCCTGCTGGTCACCCTCCAGCTCTATGGCAGTTGGTGGCCCAACCAGTAGCAGAAGCTGGGCGAGGGAGAGCAAAACTGTGCAGGCTTTTGTGTTAAATCACAGAAATGAGATCTGGGAGACTTCTGTGACACCATCTCTGCTCTGGCCAGCTGAATTGGAAGGGTGCTTTGTTCTGAATGACTCTTCCCCTGTTGTGTTTCAATGCAGTGGTCAGCTGTTGACCTGTTTAGGGACTGACTTCCACCATGGCGCTGGAGTCCTTGATGTCTTCTACGAAACACCCTCCCTTCTCCTTTCTTGTGGGTATGACACCTACATCCGCTACTGGGACATACGGACCAGCACCAGGTAAGCCTACCCTGCTGGCACCTGGGGCCTGCGTAAGGCTCCTGGGCTCTCCTTGTGCAGTGTCTGGAGACACCTACAGCTGAACTGGCTCCTTCAGGAGAACTGGGCCTCAGTTCCAGTGGTGGAGTGGAGGCTTAGCCCTGCTCTGGTTTGTGCTGTCCTTGCAGGAAGTGCGTCCAGGAGTGGGAAGAGCCCCATGACAGCGCCCTGTACTGCCTAAGGAGTGATAAGAACCACATGATTGCCAGCGGCTCTTCTCACTACGGCGTGGTGCGCCTCTGGGATAAGCGGCAGACTCGGTGCCTGCAGGTGAGGGCTGGCTGGAGGCTGGGCAGCACCTGAGCTTCTGAGTTGTTCTCTGGCAGCCCAATGCCCGTGTCTCTTTGGAAGAAGAGCGAGGGGCTGCTGGGCTGCCTTTGGGGCAAGCCCACCATGGGGAGCCTAACTTGTATGCAGGGAAAAGCCTGCTTTGCTCAGGCCTTTGGGTCTGTAACAGCAGTTGGGGTCTTCGGGCTGACCTCTTCTTTGAGAGGTTGATTCTCCTGTTTTGTTGCAGAGCTTTCACCTGTCTTCACCCACCAGCAGCCCCGTGTACTGCCTCCGTTTCAGTACCACCCATCTGTACGCTGCCCTGGCATCAGCCCTGCACGTCCTAGACTTCACGGCCCCGTGAAGGCCACCACAGCCACTTCTGGTCACCCCAACTCAGCAGAGTTGACACTTGGCTCAGGGAATTGCAGGGTGGAAGAGGTGAAAACAGGCCCCAGGGCTTCTGAAGGGATTTTTTTTTACCTGCCAGAAAGCTACAATGAAGAGTGCACAAAGGGCCAGACTTTCTCAACCTCACCTGCCTGTTAGTGGAAATAAAGGCCGATTGTCCTTTACCCTTTTTATTTTGTGCAAGTCAGGGTTTGTTTTAACTGTGTTCTTTTTTCTTTTTTTTTTCTTTTTCTTTTTTCTGTGGAGATGGCATTTGAGGGGCAAGTTGAGCCGGCATGCCCTACCAGCTGTGTGCGCTGGTCAGGCTGAGATCAGCCAAGCTCTGAGCCATGTGAAACAAGTCTAGGCTGTGTGTGGGGTGGACTGATCTGGTGGAAGGGAAAGGTGCCAGGAGTGGGCCAACCTTTCACCTGTGCTTGCTCTCCTGACAGCTGTTTCTGTTGTCCTTTGCAGCCAAGAGCAAGAATTGAGCTAAAAGGCAGAGCCAGCCCTGCTTTCAGTGTATGCCTCCCCAAGCTGGCCGTCAGGTCAGGCTGTGCACTCAGCAGGGCTGAAATGGCCAGGTTTTGCTAAATAAAACTCTGAAGGGAAACAAAAGAGACTGTATGTTTTGTTTCAAGTTCCAAAGGGGCTGCGATGTTACCTGTTGATCGCAGAGGCCTGACTGAGTGGAGGAGGTTGGGCCTATTTTCAGATGCTGTCTGCATGTCTAATCGATCTCTCTCCCTGGCTAGACCCTGTGACACTGCTCTGTTGAAGGTAGTTCCTGGGATCTTGGATCTCAAGTCACTTTTTCAAACAAGAATTCAAAAAGTAGGATCTGCAAATCGCTTGCAGCCTGAATAATGAAGCAGCAAGCTGAACTAGTGCATACACCAAGGCCTTGATGTGATGTACTGGGATCCTGTAGGCACATCTAAGCGGGCTCTGCTCCTCGTTGTGTCAGCCTTCTGAACCCGAGCTGGGTCTTAGAACAGCCGTAGCTTTCAGCTTGCTCTGTGCTGTCTGGGTGAATGTGGATGAATGTGCTGAGTGAATTCAGCAGTGCCAGGGGTTGGTCCTCCTTGGATAAGGAGGTGTGTGAACCCTACTTGGCTGTGAGTTTGGGTATGCTGGATGGGTAAAGGAGAGGTTTTGTATCACAAACTGGGAGCACTTCTAGGGCGAAGCACCGAGCATGGTCCTTTGTTAGAACTTCGTAGGTAATTTCCATTCTGTGAAGATGCTGCTTTTCCCATGTGATGCACAAGCATTGGAAGAGTATGTTCACTGGAGCCCCTGCCTGAGCAGGGAGGGAGTGGAATCAACCAGCTCCTCACCTCCTTGAAGGGAGTAATTTAAAAGCATGGCTTTGTTGCAGGTTCACATTATCACAAGGATTTTTCCAGCACAGCTCCCTGTCACAGTTCCTGATCTGTGCCTGTTCCTCTGCTGCCACTCGTGCCTGCTTGCTGCCTGCTCCCTAGTAGCTACCGTGGTGCTACGTATGCTCCTTGCATAAGTGGCAGAGTTGATGTCCAAGTGCCCTAAGCAATGATCTACTGCTCTAAAAAGATGCCATGACTGGAACCATCTCCCATCAGCTCAAAGCTGTAGATCCCAAAGACTGCTAGCCCAAGGTAATGATTCTGGGGACACCTCTGAGGTATTGGTAACACTGAGCTGTTGCTGAAAAGAAGGTGATTTGCATCAAGGGTTGCTAAATACCACTGCTGTATTGCTTGAAGCACTTTGGGCTCAGCATGTGAGGAGAGCTTTAGGTAAGTGATTAGGCATGAGGGTGAAGACAAGAGAGATATTGAGAGAGGGAGAGATTGAGAGAGCGAGCACGAGCTGGCAGAGCTTGGGAGTGGCGGAGGTCTGTGTCTTGGGTCCTGGTGTGTTACAGGTCCTTTCATGAAATTGGGAGGGAGGGATGGAGATATTAAATGTCTTTAGCGGTGTCCCCAAAGAGAGGCTGTGAAGGAACCAGAGTAACTGTGGGGTGGGAGGAGAGGTTCTTTATTGCACTGGGACTTGGGCAAGGCCCAGAGTAGGAATGAGCATGTCAGCTGAGCAGGTGAGCAAGTACGACTGGTGCAGGAGGCTCCTCCCATGACAGGCCTGCCTGCAGCACGGCTGCTGCTGCTGCCACTCCTGCCCTTTCATTTCTGCAGCACATGCTGGTGGGTCCTGCACTCTTGTAGCTGCTTTTGGGTTCCTCCTGGCTGAAGCCTGGAGCAGAGCTGCAGCCCCACCGTGGTGCTAGCACTGGTGGGTAGAAGGATGCACCCTCGTATCTCGGGTGACGTTGAGGAAAGGGGAAGCTGCGGTGGGGATGGCGCACTGGCTCTGCTGAGCTCTGCCAGTTGGTGGTGCCTCCATTGTCCTGAGAGGACTATGCAGGTGGGTCCCAGAGCTACCTAGCTGTGAAGCTCTAACTGGGGATGCCGCCCAGGCTCTAAGGAATTTTCATGGTTTGAAAGCAGTCCTCATCAGGCGAGCTATGGTGGGAGCCCGAGACTGGCTTGCTTAAAAGTAGGGTTTGTTTGAGCAGGAGCCGTTCAAATATGAACCGGGATGGAAGGACATGCAGGAATCGAAGCATGGGGATGGCTGGTGCAGAGTAGAGACAGCAGCTGGTTGGAGCTAAAGCAGCCCTGCTGGGGTTGTCCCTGTGCGTGGGGTGCTGGCTGTGCGGCGAGGCTTCCGAGGGGCCGTGTTTGTGCCCTCACGGCAGGGGTGCGCTACTGCTGCTCCTGTCGCCCCTTTCCCCTCCGTGCCATGCAAATGAAGGCAGCTGCATTTCGGTTCCTGCGCAGCCGCCCGCCTTCTGCACGTCACGTTGCGCCTGGCTGGTGGTGAGGAAGCAGTTGGGTGTCCTCCTCTTCACCCCGTGTCACAGGCTGTGCCCAGGCAGGTCTCAGTATTGATGCTGTTTGCAGAGATACCAGAGTCACAGGAGCCTCCTTCTAATGGCACGGAAGGCCTTGCGCAACAGCACGGGAGGGAGTTGCTTCCAAGCACATCCTGGGCAGGTAAGGGGTGCAAGGAGGGGTGGTTCTTTTCCAGATGGCAATGCCTTCAGTGATGGTGGCAGACAGAGGGAATTCCCAAGGGGAACGACCCATCTTTCATGTCTCTTCTGCTCATGGAGGATGGGGAGAGGGCTGCTGGCGGTGGATGCGGTGCACTCTGCGTGCTGCAGCTTCCCACAACTCATAGAAGGATCATAAATGTCGGTGTAAAGCAGCAGACCAGTGGTAAAGAGATTGACCACCCTGCCATCTCCCTGGGCCTACAAAGATTTCTCCAAATACTTCTATTAACAACAGGACTAATTTTTATTAGAAAAGGCAAAATAAATACCATGAAGCTGTGCCAGAGAGCTGCCCCCCACCTCAGCCTCTTAGCAGGCACTGCCTACTGGGTCTTGCAGTCGCCATCCCCATCGTTAGCTGCCTTTATCTTCTTCAGCTCCTTCTGCAGCTGCTCTTCTGCAGCCAGGATCTCCTTCGGCTTCTGGTACTGTAGGACAGAGAGAAATGCCCTTAGCCCTCCTCATCAGCCTCTGCTCCAAGCAGACCAACTGGGGCCAGGTGCTACCAGCACAGCTGGGGCCCTCCTGCCGAGGGAGGGCTTTCTGTTACCAGCTACTTCCAAAGCCTCTTTGGAGAGGTGGTGCCATCAGGCTGGAGACATTTGCCAAGACTTGGAGTGTCTTTTACAGTGCAAGTAAAACCTTCCAGTTGGATGTGGAGTCCTGAGCCCCACCAACCCCTCTGGAATATCCTAGCAAGCTGTGTCATGCAGATCCCTGGTGTGCTCACTGGCTGTATGCACACACATATTTATATATCTCTCTCTATATATTAAAAAAAATATATAATAGGCATTTTTTAGAAGGCAGACAGAGAAGTAAGAGTTGCAGTTCCTCTGTCCTCTTCTCAGAACCCCCTTGCCCAGCTGCAGTTTAGCAGTGGATGCAGGTGCTTTTTGGCAAGGGTTTGGCCTGCAGCAAAGAGAAGCTCAGAAAGACTCAAGATGCTCCTCTTGGCCTACTTCCTCCGCACGTGCACCCCCAGCTCTGCTGCGAGGTTTCCCTCGCAGGGGATGCTCTCTGAGTAGCTGACTTCCACATTTAAGAAGATGAGCACCTGCTGCTCTAAAGCATCTGTCTGCCTCTGTCTGCTCCTTGCAGCAAGTGCCCTTTTGCTAGTCTCTCACTTCCACCATGTGCCTGGATGTATGCCCTCTCCATGGGTCCTATCAATGCAGCAGGTGATTTTAAAAATTATTTATTTGTTTGACCTCTAAGTGCAGCAGGTCCTTGGACTCTTAACGCTTATGCTCTGAGGCAAGAAAAACTTGCTGTCATTGACAGTGGAGGCTTGCTTAGACCTGAGAGAGGGGATACACGGAAAACAGGGCACGACAGACACTCTTCCACCTGCAAGTCACCTTGAGCAGCGACCAGGGCCCCTCTTGAAGGCTGGGCTGTCCTGGCTAGTGTCAGCATGCCCAGCGTAATCTGAAACTCCCACTGACTGTGCGACAGAGAAAGGGGCTCATCAGTGACCCTCAGCAGATCTCCCTGCTCTGCCTCATTTCCCCACGTGTAAGAACTTTAACTTCTTTGTGGACATAAAGAGAAGGGAAAAGTGCTGTTCTGTGTGGCTAAAACCTCACCGTGATGATCAGGGTGTTGTTGGCATGGGTGAAGCTTAGAGCAGCTGCATCCAAGGGGAGCTGGTATCGGTCCAGGTCAGGAATAGAGAACTTTTTGTAGTACCTACAAATGAGAGAGGAGGCAGAAATGAGGAAGGTGAGGTTCCTATTCCCCTGCTAGCATTGCTGAGCTACAGAGTGCTGTTCTACAACGTGTAGATGAGGACAATGGACCTCTTGGGGTTGGCAAGAGGACCCTGTGCCATGTTGTGTGCCTGCTGGTGCCCCGAGGCTGGCAGGAGCACTGGAAACAAACCTCCAAACTGGAAACCAGAGCTGGCAAAGTCCTGAAGGGCTTTGGTGTGTGAAAGCAGGCCTGGTCTCTCCAGCTTGCCCTTGCATAGTGCCAGACATGGTTAGGGACAAACTACTCGGCCCTACCAAGTGGGGTCCCTTGTCTTTGTCCCTGCTTGTAGCCTCTCATTCCCAGCTCCTATTAGCTCTTGTCAAGACAGCTATCAAAGCCCTTGTGCCCTGGGACTTACTTTCCTGAGTGATGCACCAGTTTGTGTTGCATTCCTTCCTAAACCCATCTTTTTGGCCTCTTGCTGTGCTTCCTAGGTAGCTTCCTGCTTTGGTGGCATGGTGGTGCTCAGG